CACTATTTTTTAAAATGCCATGGCCCAAAACACCAAGGGTCTAATCCTGGGCTACGGTAGATTTACCAATGGAATGCCCCCACCGGAACTACCCGGGATACCAGACTGCCCAATAAGCACCCTTTTGCACTATTTATTTACTTTTTAACACTTACACTTTTATTTATTCAAGGCCACTAAAGACAAATCACAGCTGACTCTAGAACAGATGGGTATTAGGGGCACTAGCCCAGTGGTCGGCAAACTCATTGGTCCACAGAGCCAAATATCAACAGTACAATGATTAAAATTTCTTTTGAGAGCCAAATTTTTTAAACTTAAACTTCTAACGCCACTTCTTCAAAATAGACTCACCCAGGCCTGGTATTTTGTGGAAGAGCCACACTCAAGGGGCCAAAGAGCCGCATGTGGCTCTCGAGCTGCGGTTTGCCGACCACGGCACTAGTCCCTTTAAGCTCCCTGCAGTCAAACTGGCTAATTTCCACAACTACTGTGGGTCTCTACGCAGTGAAACTGGACTAGACCACCACAAAACTTAATGACTCCCCCAAAACTTAATTACTAATAGCCTACTGCTGACCAGGAGTCTTACTGATAACAGTCAATTTACACATATTTTGTATGTTACATGTATAATATTACATACTGTATTTTTATAATAAAGTAAGCTAGAGAAAAGAAAATGTTATTAAGAAAATTAAAGAGAAACTACATTTACAGTATTACATTTATTTTTTAAAAGCTGCATATAAGTGACCCTACAGAGCTGGAACCTGTGTTGTAAAGGCTTTCTATGACTTGGTCTCTACTTGCCTTCTCAGCAGTTTCTGTCCCCTAAGCTACAGCAGAAACAAATGTTCTAAGAACACACAGAGAAGGATGACATTCATTTGTAATTTAGTTTTCCCTGCTGAAGACACACACTGGAGTAGTCTTCCTCTCCACGTTAACAAGTCTAAATTTCAATTCTGAAAGTTAGCAGAAACAACACGTTTTTCATGAAGACTTTTCAAAGTACACCGCCCCACCAAGGCTAAAAACTAGCAATTTTGATGACTTAAGCAAGTAGCAAGTTGCCCTCTGATCAATTTATAAATTATGTGCTTCACTAAGAGTCATTAGAATCAGTGGTATTTGGTAGGTTCTTTCTTCCAATTAGGCTCAGTTTCTCTGAGCTAAAAGACTATAGATGCTGTCAACGTGAAATGAGATAAATGCTGTAAATCTGGCCTATTATTTTGTATTTTAGCACTCTACAATTCAATGCCCAGGGATACAACCTAGCTTACCTACATTCTCAGTCTACAATATACACCCTTATTTACCAATTAAAAGTATTTTCTCTTATTAAGAGGATTAATTAATCTTTAATATTTATATTAAGTAATAATCAAAATTATTTAAATCTGTTCCTCTGTTAAGGGCACCTGTTACTTACTCCCTGTATTATATTTATGAGCTTTTGTTTTATCTTCCCTTCTACGTTCTTTAAAGATACATTCCAGCCGAAACCGGTTAGGCTCAGTGGATAGAGCGTCTGCCTGCGAACTGAAAGGTCCCGGTTTCGATTTCGGTCAAGGGCATGTACCTTGGTTACAGGCACATCCCCGGTAGGGGGTGTGCAAGAGGCAGCTGGTAGATGTTTCTCTCTTATTAATGTTCTAAGTTTCTATCCCTCTCGCTTCCTCTCTGTAAAAACTCAATAAAATATATTTAAAAAAAATAAAAATAAAAATAAAACTGTTTAAAAAAAAAGATACAATCCATATCTATTTCATCTTTGTATTTCCCACAGGTTTTCAGACAGTGCCTTGTATATAGACGACACTTTAGATATAAATTTTCTTTTCCACTTTCAATGAAGCCTGGCTCTCCGAATTCTGCTATAGCTTAGGATCCTTTCTTCTAGAAAAGTCTACCTTGACCATCCCAGTCCACAGGTCACTCTTATTTTTTAATTCCTAAAAGAGCTGTCTGTAAACCATTTAATTGCCACTAAAACTACTCAGCATTATCTTTTTATGTTTATATGTATGTTATAATCTTTTTATATCTCAGTATATCCCAACAATATCTAGGCACAGCATAGACAATCAATCTTTAAAAAAATTAATCAAAAGATTCATTAAGGGCCTAGCTGGTTTGGCTCAGTGGATAGAGTGTTGGCCTGTGGACCAATGGGTCCCAGGTTCGATTCCGGTCAAGGGCATATGCCCAGGTTGCAGGCTTGATCCCCCGTGGGGGACGTGTAGAAGGCAGCCGATCTGTGATTCTCTCTTATCACTGATGTTTCTATCACTCTCTCTCTCCTTCTCCTTTCTCTCTAAAATCAATAAAAATATACATTTTTTTTAAAAGAGAGATTCATTAAAAAGAATATACTCAAAACTGGCACCTGAACAAAATTATCTCATTCATGGCAATGAAAAACAAAGGCTTTGACATACCTAATAGTTACTAGTAAATTAAGTTGTGTTAGAATTCTACAAGTATCTTTGAATAAAACTTCCTTTCACTTTAGGAAGACATAAGTGCAACCACATGCATTTACTGACTACCAATGAAAGCAGCTGACTGTAAACAAAAATAAATAGCTGTATTAAACATATAAGGATAACATTCTTTTGCAATTTAGCTAATTTTTCCTCCTGAAGACATTTATACAGTTTGCAATATATATCATTTTACTGTATGCTAAGCCTTAGCGCTTTTATTTCTCTTAGGTTCCCTCCTTTCTAATGGACTCAAAGCAGAAAAGCAATCTTTGAATCTTCACTTCTTTTGTATCCTTCCACAGTGAGGAACTATATTATAGCAGGCATTTTATAAATACTGCCAAAATGGATTTAAAGGTACATCTTTATGTTAAATAAGGGCTATTTATATACATAAATATACATATATATATTTACTTATATATTTATTTATTTATATATATTTATATCCAAATCCTACAATAGGAGAGTTGGTTCTCTAGCTTATTGCAATCAGAACACTCTAAAGCAGTGATTTTCAACCTTTTATATCCCATGGCAAACAAACTAATTACTGAAATTCTGCAGCACACCAAAAAGATATACGATCTGACCAAAAAGAAAAAAAAAAAGAGGTATAATTTTGATTCAGTCACACTGGACAGCTATTGCTACGTTGGCTGTTGTGATTTTTTAATTTGACAATCTAAGGGAAAAGAGGTCAGTGCCCCTGACTAGTCGGGTATTGCATGTTTTATAAATTCTCGCCGCACACCGGTAAAATTGCTGCTCTTGAGTCTTGCTACTCAAAGTGTGGTTCAAAAACCAGCAGCACTGGGAGTTCAGTCTGAGGCTGAATCCTCAAACTCTACTCAGGCTTCCTAAATCAGAATCTGGTGATCTGTAAGCACTTCAAGGTTTGAAAAGCACTGGTTTAGACTCCAGAGGAAGAATGAGAATGGCCAAGATGCATATGATCAAATAATGCTAACTAACAAGTGATTGCTTATTTGTTAGTCTTCCTTGTCCATTAACTGAGGCTTTTGGAGGGCAAGAACCCTTTCCTATCTTCCTCACCAGTAGTATGCCCTGGGCTGATAAGCCCTGAAACATTATCCAGTGCTCAATAAAATCTCTTGTGGTGGTGTTGTGTTGTTTTGGTTTTTTAAAAATCCTCACCTGAGGATATATTTTCATTGATTTTTAGAGCGGGAAGGGAGGGAAGAAGGGATGGAAGGAAAGAGAAAAGGGAGAGGGGAGAGGGAAGAGAGGAGAGAGAGATGCTAGAGATGGGGAATCTGACCAACAACTGAGGTATGTGCCCTGACTGGGCATGGACCTGCAATCACTTGGCGTACAGGAGGATGCTCCAAGCAACGGAGCCACCTGGCCAGGGCTCAATAAACATTTTTTTGCCGAATGCATGAATGACTGAACAAAGTGAAAATAAAACTTTTTCACAAAGCTCATCTTTTAGGAAATTATTTGTACAGCATAATTTCACACACTACCAGACTATTTAATTCAGCATTATCAATTCCATTTTAAATGTTACTTCTCGATGTCCACAGATGCACTGCATGTGTTCGACAAAGCAAAGGCTTGGCTCACCTTCCTTTGTTGGAGCCACCAGGGCCTTTTTTTTTTTTTTTTTTTTAAAGTGTGATGGCTGCATTTTAATTCTGCTCGCACAGATCCGTCCCACAAGAATGCACAAGATGAAATAACCGCAAAACTTGGAGGGGGTAGGGAGAACAGAGGAGGAATGGGCAACACAAAAACATTTCTGTATCACAGCATCATATGAAAGCTGGAAAACATCATATGAAAGCTGGAAAATGTGTGTGGGTTTTTGTTGTTGTTGTTGTTTTTTGTTTTTAACAGAATACTTCCAGGAAATAATTCCCGGCAAGGGAAAGAAGGTGGTAAGAGGACTCTTTACCTTTCTCAAGAGCAAAAGGCGATTCTAGAGAAGACTAACTGGGGAGTGATTGAAGATCAGCCACTACCTAGCGACGGCAGGTGGAAACACAGCAGACCAGAACCAAGGCGTATAGCGGTTAGAAACGTCCAAGAGGCGTGACAAAAACCACTCTCAGGTTTAGAGAAAGGAAAGCTCTATGACGAATACAACTTAGGATGGTGATGATTAATTATTATTATTATTATTATTATTATTTATTGAGAAAGAGACAAGCACTTGAAGGGTGGGGGTGGAGGGAAGAAAGGGAGGTTGCGATCGCGCTCTCTGTAAAAGGAAGCGACCGCACCGTCCCTGCCCGGCTCCGAGGGCCCCGGGGGGGTCAGCCCGGGCCGAGGTGGGGGGCCCCGCCCGGCCCCGCGGGCTCCCTCCCGGCAGCCGGAGCCATCTCCTCCGCAGCCCGCCGAGCACCAGGTGGGGACGGGCGGCAGCAGACGGCGTGTGGGAGGGAGGGAGGAAAAGAGAGAGGGAGGGAGGAAAGGAGAGAGGGAAGAAGGGAGGGCGTGCGGGGAGAAGCGGAGGATGCCGGCTGCCCGGGTACCCACCTTATCCCAGCGGAGCCACTGCCCGATGGCCGTGTCCAGCTGCGCGTCCCCGGTGTGGTAGGGGGCGTGGAGCAGGTTGGAGTTCAGGTCCCCCTCGGCGTTTTCAGCCATGGCTGCGGGCAGGCTGGGGTGCGCGGATCTGGGGGGGGGGGGCGATGAAGAGCCTGAGGTGCGCTCACCGGGGTCCCAGCGGCCCCTCCTCACGGAAGGGCATCAGAGACCAACGGCAGGTTGTCTGCACCAGCTCCGGTCGCGACTGAGAGACGCGGGAGAGAGGAGGAGGAGGCGGCCGCCCGCTCCTCACCGCACCAGCTCCTGCTCTGGGCGCCTGGACAGAGGCGGTCGCGCCGGGAGAGAACAACAACAGTCCCCGCCGATGCCTGGGCTTTAGTCACCGCCGCAGCCTCGGCCGCCGCCGCCCCGGCTACCTTAGGCCCCGCCCCCGCCGCTGGCCCCGCCCCTTAGGATTTAAGCCTGGGGGTTGGGGGTGGGGGGCGTGAGGCGCGAGGAGCCCGGGCGCTCCAGACGACTCAGCTGTAGCGCGTTAGGATCCGCCGCGGGGGTGAGGAAATGAAGCACGGCTCTTTTTCATGTTCTCCTGCTACGGGTGTTGTCTTTGTGTCGGCCCCCACACACTCTCCCACGCGTCTCCTTTCCCCGGCCGGCTGCCCCGAGCCAGCGCCAAGCCCCGGGCGCGCGGCGTGCGCGCAGGCCTGCTCTCCCATTTCGGCTCCGGGGCGCGCGCCCGGAGGCCGGGTGCGCGGGGCCGTCGCCACACGGCCTCATGGGGCTTGTAGTTCTTTCCTTCCCCCGGGGTCTGCGGAGACCGTCGCTAAGGACTACGACTCCCAGCAGAGCCGCACCCTCCCTTTCCTCCAGGGAAACATCTATCTCCAGGCTGTTCCCCTGAGGGACACTCCAGGTACCTGGTACCCTGGGGCGCGTGCCCTGAGCGTGCATTAATTAAATGAGGACCGGTGTCTGAAGGGGACAGCGGCTCCCTCACTGAGCCCTTTAACAGTGAACGAGGTGCGTTCTTTCGCCCCAACCGTCCTGGGAGGTAGGTGGGCGTGATCCTCCCCATTTTGCACACAAAGAGGAAACTGCCTTTCTCTCAGAGGGAACCGACTCTCTCGGAGGCGACATTCGTGATGGAAGCGGGGGGTTCTGACCCGCTTTCAGACTTCCTCAGCGGGCGGTTCTTTTCGCTCTGCTGCTACCGAGGACTAAGGAGGCTGGGAGAACAACATGACCGAAAACAGACAAGGAAGTCGTGAGGGAGGGAAGATGGGTCAGCCCTTATGCACAAGCGTCACCGGAGAGGTACCAGGAGCAATGGGAATAGGAAGATAGAGGAAGAAGAAAGATTACTGAGGTCATTTTAAAGTTCTTATTTTGGCCTCTTCTCTTCTATGGAATGTTCATCTTCCACGTCACGCAGCTTGAGGTCTGGGAGATGCTGAGAAGGGCTTACCTGCCACTCCTTTGCTCCTGAGTTCCTTGTGTCTGCCTTTTTACAATGGCACTACCATTTTGACCAAATATTTTTCAGCTCTTTCCCTATTCAGCTTTTTTTTTCTTTCTTAATGAGGGTGTAATAATGTTTACTCCATGGCTACCGTAACTTAATAAGTGGCTTTAGAGTGCTTTGAGGTTCATAGATAAAAGGTATAAAACATTCAAAGTATTCCTTTCTTTCCTTTAAGGTGCCATTGCCATAATAAAATCCAAACTACCAAGGTACAGAGGAATTGTAGTGCCAGTTCCTGAAAAATAACATGCTGTAATTTGGAATTACAGCTTTGGCTAAGCAGCTGAGTGTTTCCTTTAATGGAGTCGGCTGGTTCTTTTAATCACATAAGGCCTGGGGAAAAAACCATGTGTCCTAGATGAAGATTCATCATTCACCATCGGCACTGTTATTGTCCATGACAAGCACTAATTGAACATTTACTCTATATGCTAAGCATTATGCTAGGAGCCGAGGCAATAAGGAAGTATATAACACAATTACTCAAAAAAAAAAAAAATCTGTCTAGGGGTGTCAAGATCTATGCAAGAAAAGATAGACCACGATAAACAGCAACTTAATGCAGACAACTGTTTGGACCCTGAGGTGGTCAATAAAAGCAACAAGCAGCAGGTGAGACCAGCACTAGGCTTTGAGGAACAAAATAAGTAGAGAAAATGGTAGAGGGTATTTTAAAGCCATCCACCTGTGGTCGGCAAACTGTGGTTCACAAACCACATGCGGCTCTTTGGCTCCTTGAGTGTGGCTCTTCCACAAAATACCACGGTCTAGGCTAGTCTATTTTGAAGAAGTGGTATTAGAAGAAGTTTAAGTTTAAAAAATTTGTCTCTGAAAAGAAATTTCAATCATTATACTGTTGCTATTTGGCTCTGTTGACTAAAGAATTTGCCGACAACTGCCATAGACCATTGGTTCTCAAATCTCCCTAAGAGTTTGTTTAAAATATGTATATTTCTGGCCTTAGCTGGTTTGGCTCAGGGGATAGAATGCTGGCCTGTGGACTGAAGGGTCCCAGGTTTGATTCTGGTCAAGGGCACATCCCTAGGTTGCAGGCTCTATCCCCACTGGGGGATGTGCAGGAGGCAGCAATCAGTGATTCTCTTTCATCATTGATGTATCTCTCTCTCTCTCTCCTTCTCTTTTCCTCTCTGAAATTAATAAACTTTTAAAAAATATATATTTCTGGACACTGCCCCAGAGATTGAATCTGCACATCTATGTAGAGGCTAGATAGCTACATATTTGATAAATCTGTTGATTGTGACATTGGGGACTATAATTTTGCTATTTAAAGTGTGATACAACCAGTGTATTCATGTCCTCTGGGAGCTTATTAAATACAAAATTTCAGGCTCCATCTCAATTCTGCTGAATCAGAATCTACATTTTACAAAATTCAATAATGATTTACGCATATGAAATTTGATAAGCAGTGGGTTTCATAAGATAATTCTTACTCAGTTTAATTCAGTTTTTAGAAACACCACTTAAATGACAACTTTCAGGAGGTGGAATTATATAGGGCAAGTATGAAAGAAAAGAGAAATACAAGTTTTAATTCAATACCAGAGACAACCAGCTCTCATATATTCTATCTTATAAAAGAGTAATATGCAGATTGACCATCAGTCCAACACACAAGACGGCTGCCCCCATGTGGTCAAAGATCCTGCCCCTACGTGGACACAAGATGGCCACCACAAAATGGCCAGCAGGGGAGGGCAGTTGGGAGGCACCAGGCCTGCAAGGGAAGGCAGTTGAGAGAGACCAGGACTGCAAGGGAGGGCAGTTGGAGGCGATCAACCTTGTAGGGGAGGGTAGTTAGGGGTGAACAGGCCAGCAGAGGAGGGAAGTTGGGGGCAAACAAGCTGGCAGGGGAGCAGTTAGACATCAATCAGGCTGGCAGGGGCGTGGTTAGGGGGTGATCAGATGGGCAGGCAGAAGCGGTTAGGGGCAATCAGGAAGGCAAGCAGAAAGCAGTTGGGAGCCAGCAGTCCTGGACTGTGAGAAGAATGTCTGACTGCCTGTTTAGGCCTGATCACAGTGAAATCGGGTCTAAATGGGAAGTTTAACATACCTCAAAGGGTCCCAGATTGGAGAGGGTGCAGGTTGGGCTGAGGGACACCCCCACCCCGTGAATAAATTTCGTGCACCAGGCCTCTAGTATATATATATATATATATATATATATATATATATATATATATACATACATACACACTGAGGGCCCCCCCCAAGTGCACTAGAAGTCTGATGCACGAAATCCGTGCACTTGGGGGGGCCCTCAGCTCAGCCTGCGCCCTCTTGCAGTCAGGGAGCCCTTGGGGGATGTCCAACTGATGGTTTAGGCCCGCTCCCTATGGGTAGCTGGCAGTCAGACATCCTTAGCACTGCTGCAGAGACGGGAGAGGCTTCCACCACCACTGCTGCGCTCACCAGCCACAAGCCTGGCTTCTGGCTGAGCAGTGCCCCTCCCCGCCCCCCGTGGGATTGTACTAACCACCAGGGGGCAGCTCCTGCATTGAACATCTACCTCCTGGTGGTCAGTGTACATCATAGCGACTAGTTGTTCCACTGTTCGGTCAATTTGCATGTTATACTTTTATTATATAGGATTACATAGGATGTGTATATATTTTTATTTTATTAATTTATTGTTTAACCCTTACCTGAGGATATTTTCCATTGATTTTTAGAGAGTGCAAGAAGAAATATTGATGTGAGAGAAACACATCGATTGGTTGCCTTCTGCATGCACCCTGATCAGGGCCTCTCTGGGGAGGAGCCTGCAACTGAGCTACAAGCCCTTGACTGGAATCAAACCCGGGACTCTTCAGTCTGCAGGCCGATGCTCTATACACTGAACCAAATAGGCTAGGGCTACTTTTCATTTTCTTAACTATGCTTTTATTGACTTGAGAGAGAGAGAGAAATAGAGAGGGAGAGGAAAAGAGAGAGAGGGAGAAATATGGGTTGCCTCCCGCATGCACCTGCACACACCTGCAACCCAGCATGTGCCCTGACTGGGAATTGAACTGGTGACCCTTCAGTGCACAGGATTTCCACTTAATCAACTGAGTCAAACTGACCAGGGCCAACTCTCACTTTTATCAGCAAGATAGTGACAGAACAAATTGTTTACCAGAAACTTAGCCCATTGTCTTTGGCTTATTGCTTAGGAATTGAAAGGTATCCAAGGAGACCCAGAATTCATCAAATCCAAGAACAATGTTTAAGTGTATCCAGAAGAGGGAGTATAATAGTTTTCTGAGTCAGGGAAAGTTCAGAAGCTTTAGGTTTTGTTAGAATTTGCCCACAGTGTCCTGTATTTTTATTTGCTAAATCTGGCACCCTAACTGGTTATGAAAGATAATCTCTCTTGGTTCTAATATACCTACTATTTTTGGATCATGATATATCTTATCCTCAAGTGGTTCAGAAAAATGCTATGTACATACGCATATATACATAAATATGTATTGTGTAAATATACATGCATAATAGTTATAAAATAGCAAATAAAAATGGGAAATGCTAACAATAGGTGAATCTGGGTAAAGGACAGATGGATATTGTTTAT